TAACACTTCGAACAATATGATTTGTTTCAGGTACAAAAGACAATCAGGCCGAATGAGAATGAAAGGCATCAGACTGCGTCTGCTGTCGCCCCCATCGCAGCTGCTGTCGCTCTAGCTCTGCCCCCGCGAATGCCGCTGAACAGAACGGCAGGTTGTCCTGTTCAGGCGACTAAGTAACCTTTTGCCGTCAGGCAGAAAGAAATCGGCAATAAGTGATTCATAAAAATCTATGCGCGCGTCATATGACGCCAGGCCATGTCGATCCTCTGCGTAGCGTAGTCATGTTAATATTTCGTCACGTTAAAGGTACTTTCGAATATTATGTTAATGCGTGTAAGGTCTGCGCTGAAGAACATTTGACATTTAGGTGATCTATGGCTTTCCAGTTGTTGAAGCACGTGGTACACTTAGCAAGGGTGGAATGGAGCTCATTCAGAAGAAGTTCGGAAAAAAGAGACTTAATTCAAAGGTTAGGTAATGGCCTCGAGAATAATGTTCGACAATTATTTTCCGGGCCAACATATATTATAATGGTTAAAGAACTCACCAAATATTACGGGATATCCCGCATGAAATAAATAGTATAATCGAAATTAAAGATGCTTGTTTTTTTTCGAGATTTCTGAGAGGTCGTGATAAGGAATCGATTGTGTTTTGTGGTCGCGTACAACCTTATTTTGAGAAACGCGGTTGTTTTAGTAAGATGTGGCGTTCTGGTGTGCTAACTTCATCGTTCTGATAGTTGGCTCTATAAGTTCAGCTGCGTCCACAAGTACAATTGGCGAAAAGCAAATTGACGATTGTGGTTCGTTTTAACTAGACCGAAAAACTTGAAAAAATGCAGCATGTGTATCATAGATGGATTCCCCGGCTCCGGGAGGAAGCTAACAAAAACGAAGGTAACGCAGAAGGTAGCTTATTCAAAACACTTTCTTGTACCGGATTGGCTAACACAGTCACAGTGTTTGACCTGAAAAGCGTAGAGCTCTACGCTTTCATTTTTTCGTGTTTAACTTTTTCAACATGTACGCAGAGCAATTCCTAATAATGTATTACACCCTCCGCGTCTGAGGAGTTTATATTCTGCACCCTATAGCTCTGTTACTTTACGTTAAGTAATGATTAATGGATTCGACCGATTCGAGAAAACCAAAACGATAAAGAAATTTTCAATAAAATCTGCCCATTAGTAGTGAAACGTATGTACGGTAACTCAAGCTGCATGCTCCACTTTAGTGCATAGCGTTTCTTTACGGTGTTTTATTTTTGCCCTTCTCAGTCAGTCTGCTGCAATCACAAACGCCCATTAGGTTCGTTCTTGGCATTTTGATGACTCAGTCAGTTATGTCAACAACGACCGTGCTCATTCACCATAAAGAATTACTTCCATCATACCACATCTGCAACGAGGTATTGTTGGAGTTACCTTCGTACTATCGTACTTTCATTTTCTTAAGCTACATGCACTAGAAAGGGTTCTTAGAGTCCGAGCCTGTTGTGCCATCAAAGAATTGTGCCTCATGAAACAGCACGAAATTAACCTTTTCGTTACGTTCATATGCCTATAAGGCCCTTTACAGTATGTACTAAGCCAGCCTACTCAACAGCCATCGCAACGATCTATGTTTCTGCACACTATTATTATTACCCTACAAATTAAGAACTATCTTGCAGATTCTACCCTACCGGCTATGATGCGTCGCATTACATCGTGCTGTTTGCCCATGCTTGCACTTAATCATACGAATGCAATCGTACTCTAGGGGCTGCTAAAACAGCTTTGCCCTTCCGCTCTCCTGTCCCTTCCCAGCGCCCGTTGCCTTTGCCACAAACAGGAATCTTACTTACTTGCCTACCCTCTCGCTAGCCTTTTCGTTCTTTGTCCTGTGTAAGCTCAGGGAACTGTGCAAAGCTTCTTTGGGAAAATTCATGGTTCTACGCCGGCTTGCCCTCACGCAATTCTCTTTCTCCCTATTTCCCGGCTTCAACATAAATTCATCTCGACACTTCGTATAGACAGCACAGCGGCAGACAAGGGCGCCACGTAGGGAGGGGTACGAGGTCGAATGCCACGGACGCTACATGTCGCCCAAAGAAGAGAAGGAACGGGATCCGACTTCATATAGCGGTCTAATGACCGACTATTCAGTTCTTCTACATCCATCTCGACGAACAGCAGCAACCGCTGCAGCAGCTGCTACGGCCTCCGGTTCCCGAGAACGCCCTTCACCACCAATTCCTGCTCCTCTGCCCTTAAATATCAGTTCTGTATTTCCTTGCGCGTGCTGTGAGGCTTTACAACCCAGCCACTTACGACTCGTCGAATCTGTGCAGTGATACCGCAGGTAATAACCGCGGCAGCGGCAAGTGCTGATGAAGATGTACAGCGGGAAGCTTAAGTGCAGCAGCAACAACGTATAAAGAATTTACAGCAAAATAATAAGAAGAACAATCTAAATTTCCATCACTGGCACTCCGTAATATCGGCAGTAGCATGAAATCCGTTTGTCTTCGGCAAGGAAGAATCATTGTTCTATTAGAAATTTATTATTGACCAAATAACGATAGGCGTACAAGCGGTGGCAGTATGGGTATGGGCCAACAAGCTCAGTTCACCAGCAGTAGTGAAAACAAAATAAAAATGACATCAGATAAGCTTAAGAGGAACGTAGACAAATCAGCTATGTTATAGTCGCTTCGGGTATAATAATAGAATTCGAACACCATAAAGAAATTGGTTTTTTTTTCCAGAAATTTGACCTACCTGAGTTGAATTATACCTGGGAATAATAGACACGATTCTACTATTGTCGTCATCATATTTTATGTTTTGCAACGTAAGCACGTCATGGCTTGGAAATCTGCCACCAAGTCAATTTTTTGCTCGTGGGCGAAATCAGGCAGTAGCAGCAGGAGCGACAACATGGGCGTCCCGAACAAACGTGATTGATACCAGCTTTGCAGGGCCTGCATGATTTACAGGAATATATTTTTAAACGATGACCGTGACAGAAACATTTATTTAAACATAAATGTAGTATTTGGCAGGATATTTATTAAAAGATTCAGCCCATGGACCAGGAAAAAAAACCTTAGTTACCCGTCGATTAAGTCGACGCAATTGTAGCCTATAGGCTGCCTAAGATATAGTATTCTCGCTTCGATAGAAATCTAAGCAATTTTGTAAGATTAGAGAGCTCCTGCTATCGTTATATTTTTATGTTATCAAAATGTTAGCTTCATTAGCCGGTTCATATGGTTGGTCAAAGACTCAAGCGCATATAGCGCATGTTTAAATGTGGTGTCGTACCATCCTAGAAATTATTTTAACATGTTTCTTTGACTAAGGCTATATCTATATTCTACATAGCATATCTAAACTTTTTTTAGCAGCTAAAAATAACAGCGGTACGTGTGGAATTTTTGTTCAGCTTATCGCGAGCGAACCATGCTTGAAAATACTATTAACTGAAGAGTTGAAATATTATTCATTAAAAAAAAAAAAAAAAAAAAAAAACTGTGTTTAGAATGAAGCATAACGAGAGTTTATAATCTTTTCGGAGCTATTTACTCTCTTTACTTCGTTACTGTTGTAAATGTCCACCTCACAAACCTGAATTTTTTTTTTATTTTTTTTCGTGCCTGTAGCTATAAATCGTTATGGAATTCGTTTGAATTAGTGCTAAAAATATTACGGGTGCCAAATGCTATTTACGGCTCAATCTAGAGGCAATAGTTAGCGCTATTATGATAGAAGAACCTATAGAACCTTTCTCGAGAACTCTACGAGGATATATCGTGATTTCGAAACAAATAAGGCTATACCCAAACTAACGTTTAATCTGCTAGCGACACCTAGTGGAGCTACACTGATATAATGAAAATGGCATCGAATTTTTTATGTCTAACAAAAATTTTCTTTGCTTATTCTGTTGACAGTTCACTCTGCTATTAGTTTTTCCCACTCTCTGGAAACACCCGGACAACAACGACTAGTCTCCGTTACATGACATCAGTACCTAATAGCAATGACAATTTTTTAAAGGAACATGTAAATATTTTATTTGGATTTGTTTAGTATTACACAGATAAATATTACTCTTGAAATGCACCATCTCGCGCGACGCCATCGCCCCCTTTTGTTTTTTAACCCACCCAGACTTTTTGTTAGTTTTTTTGTCGTCTACTACAATACAACTGGTAGTGATGGCAATAAAATCGTCATTCTTCTTAAAAAAAAATTTCCATTCGAGTTAAAGCTTCTATCGTCCTGCTTAATTTTGCCAAGCTTGCGGCTTTCCGCGCCGCCGCTTATTACTATAGCTTCGGGGATAGATGTAGGCCCATTGGCTTTACCAGCCCTAGTTCTTGCTCGCATGGTACCTCAGTTTTTTTAGGAGGAAACGTCGTCACAGCGCCTTTCATTCACATATTTAGCATAGTCGTTATCTTCCTGTCAGTTCACTTTCTGTTTGTCGAAATCGTTTGTATCCGTTCGTTCCTTTATTGTTTTTTTAATAATACATATTTTTCTGTCCTTCTTTTACAACTTCTCATAATTGCTTTTTCTTTCCCTGTCCTTCGCTCGGTTGCCTTACTTGTTCGTCATTATTTTTTGCATTATCATAATTATCTTCGTTTTGTGTTTCCGTGTGCTGTTTGTATTAAATTATTCACAATTAACACATTTCGTATTTACAAAGTTATTTTCTTGTTTATTATTTTATCTGTCAGTATCATCAGCAGCAGCAATCTTGTCTTTCGGCTTCATCTCTTAATTCGTCTTTGCCTCCACGCTCCTTCCCAGTTATCCAACTGTTCAACGAAACCCATTTTCCTGCTCCATTTTATATTCACGCTGGATACTATTTTGTTTCCCATTCGTTTCACATTTGACTTGAGAGCTGACATTTCCGTCGGCATTATAAGAAGTACTGTAAAATCATAGCATGCAGCGGTTACTTTGCTAGTCTGGCCGAAAGATGAGTGTATTTGTTATTTTTTTTTTTTTTTAAATACTAACTCTTTCCAGCCCAAATTCCAGCTAAAAGTCTACGTCTTTTTCGCTGGCTCAGTGCTTTACTGCGCTGGTTTCCGCTTTTATACCCGCAGCTTCTCGAAGACCCGTTGTACTCAATCATGAGTTCCAGAATCGTATCTGTGCTCATCTTCAGTATTCATCTCACTGATGATCGTACTAACGTAGTGCGATACTCGTGGCAATTATTAGCGTTATCGTGACATTACTACCTATACAGTACCCTAGCGGACGAATAGCGAAAGACTGAAAAAGACATCGTGTCTCTGTATTGAGATTGTAGTTTAATGAAAAGAAGTTTCGAGTAAATTGGTGGATTTTGCTACTCAGAATACATACGATTGCTTTTTCCAATTAACAAACCTTAGTTAAACTTTCCATGGCCTTTGGACGTAGTGCCGTCCACATTGTATTTTTCGCTTTCTATACCCATTTCAAACAAGGTCAAGCGTTTCTTTGAACACAGCTAAGGGCTGGACCTGCTAAACTGACGGGCAACGACTGAATTAAATTTCAGCAATATTTTTATGTTATTTCATCCTCTTTTTCTCGCAGCGTGTCCACATCAGCCCCACTTGACTATTCTGGTTGGCACGCTAATCGAACGAAGCATAAATGGACTTCTAAGGATTCTCCGGCTCCCCAGCCAATGCTGAAAGATAATGAATCTGTCTATGACTAACAAATAAAAGCGGTAGTGACTTGATTAACTACGCGCCACATCATTGCCACTGAAAATACTAGTCTGCTCAGTTTCTCTTCTGGCTGTTCGATTGCCCCCCTCTCGTGATTTCTTTAATTTGCAGTTAGTCTTCTGACTAGCTGATGACACAAATGGTAATACACTTGATCCGAAATGATTATGAATATATCTGACCCTTTCAAATTATGATCTGCCAGTTTTGTGGTTTGGCCGCGCCTCCTATGCTTTATTAGTCAAAAATCTTTGTTTCATATTGCTTCCCACTTTGTTTCACACCATCATATTGTAGTTGCCCTCTCCGAAATGCTACCTCCACTGCGCGGAATGGTACTGCTTCACAGTCTGTGGACATCTGTATGCCCCATATTTTTCCCGTGCGTTCTGCTTTCCGGCTTTTATTGAGCGTCACCTATACAGTCGTAAAATTCGCCAGTAATGCCTAGGTCTAATACGGTGTACGAACAGCAAGACCAGTTGCAGCGGCGCAAAAAGATTGTCTAGGATAAGATCCAAACAACATTCAGAACAAAATACCCAATCATCAACGCCACCACTTTCGCTTTTACACAAAGCAAACAAAATAAGAGTAGTTCATCATATGCACATAGTTATTGCTTCTGATGTCTTTGCTACAGTGCACCAACCCCTTAGATCGAAAAAGGACCTATCTGTGGTCAGCCGTCGGGGTATTCTCACATTGATGTACTGACATGTTACAACATCGCACTAGTAGAAGGTTTCTCTTTGTCCATGTTTCAACGGTCTTCAGTTCGGTTTAAAGGCAGGATCATGTCAATGGTCAGTGACCACAATGAGAACATCACGAAGAAAGTGACGATCGATAGTAACGATCAAAAGCCTAAGCGGCCAGCGTGAAAAGGACGTTTGGCCGTTGCAGGATGCTCGTTTTCGTAGCCTGACCGGCGAATCTACAAGACTTAGGTGGAACCAGTATGTACTTTGAGCGAATGTACAAGTCAGCAAGCAGGACTACACCGACCAAACGCAGATCTTTCACTCGGGCTTGTAATCGTGATGTATAGAGAACGTTGAATTAAATTTTACGAAGTCTTGCACCGTCTGACGTGGGTGTCTTTGTGTCACAGTAGTGAGTTTCTTCGACGAATACCGCTAGCGTTGTTATCGCTCATGCTATGAAGTTTATATTATTATAGACTGATGTGGCTCGCATCATTAAATTGTATATATCGTTGTTGCACATGTTCAACACGCTAACACACTCGTATTCGTTCCATACTTAAACAGTGCCAGTTATTATGTCCATCTTGTTTATAGCCCCTTTTTCATACAATCGGCTTTGAATAATTTACAATGAAGTTTTTGTTCGTTAGTATCAATCAACACCGTACACGTCTGAGGGGTACGACAAGTCCGTTCAAGTGACCGGACTAGGCGATGATACAACTCCATACAATTCTTGAGGATTCAGTTCCCCTTATTTTTACATGATGAGTGGCGTTTCTCGTTGTTCCCTTTTTCTCTAAGCACAAACAGCGGCAGTAAGTACAATGACGTCACCGGTCATGCGAGCCTTGCCTGCGCTACTTTCTTACAGGGTACCGTTGCATGTTCAATCGGAGGCAGCCTCTCAAATATACCTCTGGCAATACGAATATTCGACTAGACTCATATATATATATATATATATATATATATAAATCTAGTCGTACTAGATTTATGTTATATCACCTATTTTACTCCTCTTTCTCTTACCCAAGTATACTTTACAATGAAGATTGAATCTGATAAGGTTTGGCGTAAGCGTTACGGTGATGAGTGGTACAAGGACGTTTTTCGGGGTCTCTACAGGTTTAAAGGAAGGGCCTTTGACGTCGGAGATTCTTATAGCAGGTCTGGGTGGAAGTCGTGGAGGATTGTTACAGACGCTTATTCCGTGATATTATCTCTATGCGTTGTTTAATTATTAATTGTTAGCTCTTTTTCTGTATACACACAAACATTCGTTTTCGGTTTAGGTAAGTATCATTGTCTGTGTAGGAAGTGTCTGTGCTTTTCGGTGCGCTTAGAAAGATTTAGTTGATTCTTTATTACGAAATTACCTTCCTTATACTTACAGCTACTCTCCCCCTTTTCTTTGCTTTCATTGTTATTTAATTCAACCGAGATACCTATGTGTGTATATAATTTTCCTAGTACATTATGTTGTTTTCAATTAATTATCGGTCCTTTTCCCTCGTTATTAGCAACATCAAGACAAGTGATTCTTCAACAAGTATTGTCGATCTTTCCGTCGGTGCCTGTTGATGTCGTCATGCTGCCACTATCAATAGTTTATCAGTAATAATATAAGTATTTTTTGCCATTGTTGCGGTCGATGTGTTAATCACATTATGCAATCCAGTAACGGTTTCAGCCGGTCGTTGTATTGATCATTTTCGTCTCGTCGTATTTCCTTCGCGCATCGCTTATATGCGGGCCAACCGTAATATTTACTAGATAACCTTTGTTTACATATCTATATCCCGCCGCTCCTTTGTAAATATGGGGTTACCACCGCTGCTGATAATAATAATTGATATATATATATATAATGTTTGGCGCTTTCCCTTAGCCTTTTTTTTTTTTCTATATAAATTAATAGCATAGTTGCAGTTGTAGCTGACAGTCATCGACAGGATTGTGTTCGAGAGTTGTATCATGATGAGAAGTGCGATGTTTTGATGACCAATTTTCGTTTCTTTATCTCGCTTCTCAGGTTAGGTTGGGTTAGGTTTCCTAGGTTTCCAAACACCGGAATCACGAGTTTAGACCTTAGTTTGATATTGCGATGCTAGTAAAACTTACGTAGATATTGTTAATAACATTGTTGTTGTGGAAGGCGTGGTAAAGCAAATACGCCAAACTTAATTTGGATCTCTGTCTTCTCCTTAGTCTGTTCATCGTTGCTCCCATTTCTAATGATTCTCCAAATCAATCTACCTTTTATTTTCTCCCGTCAAAATCTACCTAAATCAAGCTTTCGTTCCGCCCGTCGCAGCCGGGTTGCCTTTAAGTGGTCGATTTACATCAGCGTTTCTGGCGTGTGTATGTGCGCTGTGGACCCTCCTTCCGCGCCCTTTCAATTGCCGATCCGTCCAGCTATCCACCGGGTTGGCATTGCGTTGTCTCCTAGTCTTAAGTGGGTCTAAAATGCCGTGCACCTGCTCGGGGGTTCGGCTGTCAGGCCTCTAACGTTTTTTCCTTGCTCTCCCTGTAATTATTTCTCTTTGCTCCTTATTTTTTTTTATCAATTTTCGCTCCCGCTCCCGATTACTCAGGCGGAAGGTTTTATAAATGCAAGAGTCGATGAACAAATTAACGAATGGGCAACACTGCCGTGGTGGCACATGCCTTCATCCCAAAGTCCTCCTGACGTCTCCTACAGGTTTAAGCAAACGTTCGTTTATCCTTGTTTGGTGTCGTCGAGGCCACATGACGACAGGCCCTGTTTTAGATCCCTCTCCAAGATAACATATCTATTTGCTGATGAGGTTAGTCTCCCCTCACCTGAATGGAGTGCCGCCGCAGTCGCACCCCCGCCATGCTACTGTTGGCACGCACGTGCTTAAAACAGGTTTTCTCAATACGCCGTACACTTACCAATGAGAGCATGATGACCCTGGCCAAGTCTAGCCAGGTCTGCTTTGGCCTGGGGCGCAGCTTTTCATAGAGCTGTATGAATTGATTGGTCTGGTGTTTCTTACGTTCACTGAGGCCGACAACTGAAAACTGCGAGGTCGGACAATCAAAATTTTGACTACCGTCTATTTGTCTGTTGGTTTCTTACAGTTGAAATGAACATTGTTTGATATAGACTAAACGACGATTCTAACTTTGGTACTCATACCTTCCTTATTATCACTGTTGGTGAATGTCGAACCAACTCTTTAGCCGTGTCCATGGCCTTGATCGGTTTATTACTATCTCTTTTATTTAACTATTACTGAATCGATGGATAGTGAATCAATCAATTAATTGATTGACTGTCATTTGTTGCAATAGCTATTTCTCAATAGTAAGTTGTGCTTAGTATCGAGTTCTGTTGTGCAGTAGTTTCCGCTATGATTATTATTAATACTAGTTTCTATTTTGAGATTTGTATTTGGCTTAGCCCTGGCTTGATCGGCTCGATAGCGGGTAAATGGGGTTGGTTATTCTAGGGATGGTAGGAGCGGCGGAACGTACCAGATACGACGAGGCGTAGTTGTGGAAAGCTGAATGTATGTATGTATGTATGTTCTACACATCAACGAAAGAAGATCGCCTGGCTAGCGTTTAAGATGGGCTTTGTTGAACGTTTAGGTATTTGGTAACTCACTGATACGCTACTTCACGGCTGTCGGCGGATTGGTATACACTTGGTAAATGGTTGTCATAGAGGTGAAGAAAATCACTTCTTCAATTGGCTTTAAAGTCTCTGCCGAAGTAATATCAAAGGGAAGAACAGAGGCAGCGTTGAGGCAAACAATTGACTCGAAACAGCCACTGGAGCCCGCTGATAGTCCATGTTCTGCGTGCGGTGGTAGAGTTCCTAAAGTTGTAGGATATACGATGGCGAGGACACAGAAGAAAAACAATTAACAAAAAGGCAAGAAAAAACAAACCAGAATAGCAACTGTTATCAGATAAGGTATTGACGATAAACTAAAAAAAAGAATATCTCTGTTTGGAGAATCGGTGCTAAATCAATTCGGCAGTTCAGCGCAATGAGGTCAATATAACGTTTCCATCGTTTGGTATTCTTTAAATGCAAATACCTTTAAATATTTTTTTCTCGCCGTGAAGCATAAGGCGATGTAAATGTAAGTCTGAATTTTACAATGAACGAATAAATAATCATGCTTAGCCCTGAAAATATTATACTGCTTACAAATGCTTGTGTCAGATGTATCTTCATCTCATAGAGCAGAAGCACAAATGTTACCACTAGTAAAATGACACATCTATCACCCAATTTCGAACCCCCGTAAATATTGTGGGCATTTTCTTCTATTGTAAACGCTTCTCTTATTGATCTTCAGTTGTACACATAAACATACGTATAAATTGGACAAAATTAAATCTGTTTTATCCTATAAATTGAGCCAATTCCATCAACACAAACCTGTGAAAAGTCTGAGTAGCCGGCGGCGTTCTTGGCAGCGACCCGGATTACGTAACTCGTGTTCGTGTTGAGACGCCGCAGCTCATATTGCGGATGGCGGTCTGCTAAAGGAGAAATAGAAAAATTATTAAAAGTATTATTTATTAGAGAAACCAAAAATGAAACGATATTAAAGGCGTTGAAAACATACCGAGTTAATAAATCTTTCAAGAAAATGTTAACGAACACAACAAATGTCAGTCGTTACGACGCAACAATGTCACGCTGCCAGTGCCGGAACCTGACACGGATTCGATGGGCTGTTTCTGTAGAACAGCTATTTACATGCTGAGTGAGATAATCATAATTATGCCTACGCGTACATAAGGAACGAGACGTACATATACATTCCCGTTGCATGGGAGCTTAGTGTGGTATCGACTGAGGTGCTCAGACAATTGAATAATTGCGTCCCACTTTGATCGGTTTCACTACAAGTAAATAGCTGACTTATCAATTTTGCGTGAGCTTCAAAACGGATATATATATATATATATATACATCTCCGTATCGAAGGTCACGCAAAACTGATATATATATTAGTTAGTACTTCGTCGTCGGTGGGATGAATTTCGCATCTAACATTCTAACGTATTACAGATAAATTTTATTCGTTATCGGTTGCGTACTATCTAGTAGGCATTGGAGCATGACGTCACCGGGGTAAGAAACAACTAGTTTATCTCTACCGTACAGCTTTCCCTAACTACGCTTGCTTTTAACTCTTTTACTAGCCGATAGTAGCACCCTCAGCAACCGTGTACCTCAATTCTTTACATATCCCCTCTTTGTCTTTTAGCTAACTTGCGCATCTCCTCCGGCGTCCTTACCGCGTGACAAGCCAGGCGGTTTGGCGTATGCGTGTATCCTACGCATGTAACAGAAAGGAAGAAAAGATATTTTTAGACATCGCTCCGTTCATGGTTGGCTGCAGCGGCGACAGCCGCCGCTGTATCGGCTGAAAAGGGCCGTAAAAACTGAGCCTCAGAAGCACGAGGTTTGGAGATAGCAAGCGATACTGCCCTACACTGCATCTATTCTACAGGGTCTACACTAAGAAAAGGTGAACCGAGATAGGTAAAGTTCCTGCCTAACCAGTTCGGTTCAACCCGGTCTTGCGTCATGCAAAAGGAAATCAGAAACGCGGTACTAATAGCAAACGTGCCGGTGTTGCAGTGAAGCCACATCCCTGTACGTGGTACACACCTGACGTCTGCTAGTTACCGACTTGCTCTAAGACCCTACCTCTCATTCGTGCCCCATCGTACATCTGGCAGGCCCAAGAAAAGTCAGGACACAGCTCAAGGACAAAGGGCAACAGGTAGCAGCTGAACGGGGAGCTTTTGCCATAGGAAAGTTGCTGTCTGAACGAAGAGTGTGATAAACCGGACCGTCGCGACGGGGCTTACTTTAGGGCTCCCTAGTCTTTACTACTACTTCTGTGTACTTTGTGATAATAAGAGCAGTAATAGTAATAGTCATTGAGACAGGCTGGTGTCTAAGTGTATTTTTTCTACCTTCTTCTCCCATCTCCGATTAGCCTCGTCCTTATGCTGATATAAAACGCTAAGCTAATACATCTGTGTAACAAGCGGAGCAATGAACCAGCGAACCGAGCTAGCTAATGCATGAGGACGGTCAGGTCCGATGTAACCGGTTGTTGGTAAAAGGTTGGAATCACACCGTAGCCCCTGTGGCGACCTGCGTCTGACCCACAAGAGGTAGGCTAAATTTATTAACTCTGTAGCAACTCTCACCGAAACTCACTAGCCGTATGAGCTACAATACTCCCGCATGTATCTTCCCTTTCAAACACTCTGTAACAACAAAACAGAGCACGCCAATACACTGCTGTCACGAACCATACCACTTTTTTGCAATGATAAGTAGTATCCCAGAAAAAACAAAAATAGCAGAAGCAGAGAGTCAAAAGGAAACCAGGATACTGAGATTTACTTGGATCGCTAGCATGCTAGGACACGCACTGAGGGACATGTACAACGTTCAGGTTGGACTGAAAAACCGATGGCCAGAGAAACAGAAAAGGTTTGCGACGGAGGAAATGCAAAGCCACAACTCGTCCCCGTACCCTTGTTTCAAAAGAAGATACGTTGGAGCAGGAGCCCATCAAAAGTCATCTCAAAAGTCAAGGGCACCCTTTGATGTGGCCGCAATCAAATGATGCTATAGGGACAGAGGAACGTATCGGAATTACATAACGCAAAAACACAGCGAAACCCGTGTAATGTACTGCGCTAAAGCAAATCTGGTGTTTCAACAAGATCTACTACGACTTCATGACCAATTGGGTGATTCGCGAGTTTTCACGAATCACGCAATGAAAAAGACTACTAATCCTAGTAACAATACTCCACTAATGAATTAGTTTAACGACATGTTCGAATTTAAGCTAATACAGCATAAGAGATAGATGAGTTATCCGTGACCGTCGCAATTTGATAATTTAGACAGGGTCAGCATTGAAGTAAATAGCTAGCACATAGGCTTGCAGTTCCAGATCCAAGGCTCAGCGTCGCCGGTACTTACGACAACCTTGAGGTTACATATTGGACAAGAACAAAAATAGCAGATCGAAAGCTTACGACACACAAATAACTCGTTAGTAAAACAACCATGTATTGTATTATATGTAGGCTCGTGAGGTCCCTTCCATTAGCAGGCATTGAGCTACTCTAGTGACTTGCATATATCGAAGCTGTCGACTACATCAAATCCGCCGGAATCTATACTACCTGAGCGATATTCGAGGTAATGGGTGTATTAACCCCGATTGGACCCGACACTGCCAGACAGAATATCGACACTGACCTTTATATTCGACCATTACCAATCCAAATTAGCCAGTCAGTTAACCTTGATTTGATTTTCAACCAATCTGTCTTTGGATCAGCTTCGATATAAATATGTCTATGGACGAACATGCAAATACACGTACAGGCACTGTGCTTTGATCTAAGCAATTCAGGCCCATTCCTACGTATCTCTAGGACTAACTGTGCAGCTCCTTTGGATTCTATTAATTACGTCGCGTTGATCTAATATTACAGTTTCGCTTTTGAGAACCGTACGCATTTTTTTGCTGGCATCAGCAATTAGGAGGATGGTTTCGGGGTTAAGCAATACAAATCAGGAGGACGTACCACCCTACACAATTAAATGAATTTAGCTGTGTTTCCCTCTAAAGATTAGCTTCCTATATTTATAAATAGGGAAGGTTTAGCTTTAAGAGTTTTTTTTTTATGTCTAGCTTAATTGCAAAATGATATTTCACAAAAAAAATTGGACTATGGGAAAAAATGTTAATAATTCCTCAGACGTACTATTCTAAGTATCAGTAAAATGCCAATGTCTATCGTTGATATTGGCATTTTCTTGATAGTGGGTCCCGCTTTGTTTTATACTCTTACCGTTCAACTGATACTCTTCCGAAGGGGCCGTCTCCCAGGTTCCTTCGTCTGTCTTGTACTGGACTCGGAAGGTGTGTACGGCTAGATCGTTGTTCATGTCGTCCTCGTCGTGCTCAATGTGCAGGACGATGGTGTCCTTCTTGGGTCTGTCAGGCTCGACAACTCGGACCCGAGGCGCAACTGGTGCACCTGCAATAGTCATTCAAGAAAAGAAATTGGAACTGCAGACGGGCAAATTCATTTTTTGCTGTTTGGCCAGATATGGCCATTTGCTGGAAGTCCGTGGGGTTGTAAAGGAAAACCCGTTTACGCTCTATTATTCTACCGCCAAACCAGGTTTTGAAAAAAGGTTTGAAACATTTTATAGTATGAGTGTACTCTGTGATAACCTGTCGCCTGATACTCGATTTCTAGTCAGTAGGAATGTTTACTTCGACTATCATCTGACTCACAGGTAGTAGCTTTTACCATTTAGTCTCTAGTATCATTTAACGGCGTGACTTTAGGAGACGATCTGCCGCAGAGAACAAGCCAACAATAAAAAAAACCGCTCGAATTTGACCATTGCGGAAAATCGCTAAATTATTATACTTTTTAAAGAGAAAAGTTAGGTGGCGTCTTTTATTAAACACGTGAGCGTTGTAGCATTCTAAATAACGAACGCAACGTTCGCCGCCATTTTAAATGTAGGCAGACCGCGAGTATGTATCAATAAGCTGTCGTGCCAAACTTGCATAAAATGATTTTGTTGTCTGCCATTTACCTAAAGCAGACGCTCATCCCTTTATTATCATGTTTTAGTCTTGTGATTGCAATTGCACCTCAACTTCCACAGCTCACCGCTGAGTACTCTGCCACTCATTCTGCCACCAAATACGACGAGGCCGGCGAAATGCCATCATCGAATCTATCATCCATCTCGGCCCTGACACACCAGCAACATTGTATTTTGTTAATTTATTATATTGTTTTATTATATTTATTATAATATTTTGCACTTCAAACTAGCATAAAGCCCATTGTTAGGCACCTCTAGCTGTGCCGGATAGAAACGTGGGCAAGCTTCGTAGCTTTCACTTGGGCTGGACCAAAATAAAAAAACTAGCAAAAATTTTTTCTTCGCAGCAAGTGGCCGCGTAAAAAACTTTTCTTCAAGCTACCAAACGGGCAACTCTATACAAACGACGGATATGCGTTTCGCTTCATTCCCCTCCCGCGGCTTGCAGTTAGTTGCAAGCGTTGCATGTATGACGCTGTGCGAATAAGCCATTGGTAAGCGGAGCGCGAATACACCAACCCAAAGGGTAAATAATGCAAGTTTTGACAAAAGTACACCATTGGCCTAGATGGATGGTCGAATGGAAGCAACGACGAAGATGACATGGGGCCGTCGCTTGCGAGCTGTTGATTCGTGTTAGATATACATACTATAACAGAACGGGAAGGAGATCAGAGAGTTGAATCAAGGTTTCTGATAGCGTGGCAAGTTAAAAAAAAAAACACTGAAATACCAGCGTCGGCATTAGAACCAGCGGCGGGCAAGGCAAGGCAAGGCAAGGCAACCTCGCCATTAGCGTAGCCGCGGAACATAGAATCGATTCTCGATTTCGACAGAGGCTAACTTGAGACACGACGTAGAGGACTTCATCGAAAGAAGAGCATAAAAAAGAGCCATCTAAGTTCCCTGGCTTCTAACAAATTCTATTTCAACTCGCTAGAAGCGTTTGTTCTGTCAGTTCCTCGCCAAATGTTACGTATGCTGAGGCCTAAGAAAAATAATTTTTAAACCAACAAGCAATCACATGCAAAAAAAATATAGGTGCTCACAATGCCGAAACCTGAATCGAGGCTAATTTGATCGCTTCTAGGAATGGGTGGCCGAAACAGTGAGAAATCGAAAGCTTACAGAGGAATTCATCACATAAGTGGACCTTACACATAGAAGAGAGTGATTAGCTTCCCAATGGCATTGCCTGAGCTACATACCATGCCATAACTGTGCCAAAAATGAAGTCTTGACCTAAGACCTCTTTTAGACTTGTCAACTAAAAGTCGTTAAGTTAAGTGTTTCAAAAAATCATTTGAAGCCATGTCGTATTTGTTAGCAGAGATCTTATTTGCCTCCGCGTGAAGCACCCATTATTTTTCTGCTCCCCTTAACTCGCACAGACAGCCTTTTCAAGGCCGACTAGGCGTTCAAGGCCGAACCATGTAAGTTGGAGTCCATTTAGGAAATACAGTTCGTTTCTTGACACTTGAATAAAAAGGTTCAGGGAGCTTTTGTTGACGTCAGTGTTCATTTCGCAGTTGCTGTTGTGTCTGTGTGAACGACTGCTTCGTTCTCGTCGAGTTCACTGGCTGCTTTCTCGTTACGATTATTATCTTGTCTAGTCACCATATCCAGCGGGTAGTAGCTTTGTTGACGTGTGGTTTTGTTCGAACCGATCGTATCATCAATTGCTATCGGTGTTACTCCAATCGAACAGGGGGTTAGAGGATACTTGGCAATAGATGGTATACCTTGCTCACCCATCCAGACCAGTAAGGAAATTGATTGAAACCTACTTCACATCGCGCCTCGTCCAGCAACGCCACTATACCTCTCAGTCAGCGCAGAACTAGCATAAGCTTATCCTACGAAGTCTTTCCTGCACAGGCAACGGTAGGCGAAACAGTTATTTCGTTCTTTCAGCCTGCCACTCCTGTTACTACTCATTCAAGGGGTGAGTTGCGGCTGGCAGACGCCAAACTGCTTGCCGCCCACCGCTTCACTGCGGCGGGGGTATAGCAAGTTCATACGTACATTGAGAGCAACTTCGCACAAGAAACGAGGACATAGAAGCATCAGGAGTACGTAAGAGTAACAAGATAGGTCGAAAGGGAGAGAGAGAGAGGGAGGGGGGACAGGAGGAACCTGCTTTCATAGACGCCGACAGGACGCTCGTTACACATGGACTAGCACGGCCGTTAGGGCACAGTCCTAGGCCAGAAACGGTTCGGAAGGAGATGGGGGATCGAAGTCGATAAAGCCTCCGCCACCGCAGCAGGAGCAGATTCAACCCGAAGTTGGCAAGCAACGATCGACCAGTTTTTGTGGTTACTAACTCGACCGATGTAGCGAGGGAAGTTTGCCTGAGGGCGACTAGCAGGGGCTTGCTAGACGAAGGATATGCTTCTTGGCAATGGTAGGTTACGTGATGCCTACAAGGCAAAAGCTGTATTCACCAGGACTGCTAGCACCGCCACGACAACTGAATCAAGTATTGCAGACGGCATACGTACTGTCGATGCCGGCAAAACTCACAACTTACGTAGAGGCAGGGGGGTAGGGTTCATCCTAAAAAACCATTCTACTGAAAAAGGAACATGTAACGCTGTCAGGTGACGTTGACTGGATAGTTAGAAAAAAGCAAGAGAGAAGTTCAGCTGTCTTCGAATGTGGTTTTGTGGACGGGCCAAGGAGGTAGATCCTTAGACGGTAGACCTGATTGCGTGATGGTGGCTATGTAGGAAGTGACTGGCGTTGAAAGACGCTAAATATTTACTGACACTTCAAGATGAGCCGATCAATGAAAGGTTAATTTTTAGGGGTTGTGTAAGTAAGAAATGTTCGAATAGATTTACTTGTTCGTTTAACAGAAAGAAAACGTAGCAAGAACAACGTAATAAAATTTAGCTTACTATTTGGTATATGCAGACGTCTCTAGTAGTTACTATATCTTGCTAGCTAGAATAAGCTTTAATAAAGCTCATCTAAAAAGACTGATGTTTCTCACACGCATATTGCCTTTATGATCTGATTAAGTGTAATAACGTTTTCGTTCACGTTTCTTAGCCGCAACTGCCTCACCCACCTGCGCTGCTAATTGCCCACTGTATTCGGATATTTAATATAATAAGAAATTTGTAGAACAGGATGGAACAAGGATATAAACCTTCGTTTTATAAGCGGACCTCCGTATTATGTTTTGTATATGTAGGTAAGGTCACTTACGACAACAGCAACAACATGGAACGACTCATTCAACAATAGCCATGTCGTGCAACGAGGTAGATTAACAACAATGGTCGTTTGAATAGCTATTGTTATCAATCATAGTAGTTGTTATTATTAGTTAAACGAGCATAGCTGGTTGGAGTGACCGCTACTTTTCTACGCAACCAGTTACTGAACGAAGTACTCTAGAAAACAACGAAGTCTCATCGAGCATAGTTTAATCACTAAAAAATCGTTCTCGCGACAAGCGCATCCAAAGTTATGGAAAAACCCTAAACACCAGCATCAGCTCGCCACTGTAATCATTGCTATTATCATTAGTAGTAATAGGGCTTGCTGGCTTTACTGGACAAAAGAGACCCATCTGAGATTCACGGTCTAGCAAGCGACCAAATAGGGCTTACTAATGCTACTGTATATATGAATCTGCTCAGGTGTCTGTATCTCTATTTACGTGCGAGTCGGTGGCTCCATTCGACTAGCATTTATTGAGTAACAGATTAACGTTTGGTCACAACGGCGGTGGTAGGACAGTGGTAGGAGTCGGTAGAACTCTACAGTAGAGAAAACGCACCGCAGAGTTGCTGGGCGAAGGGCCGTCACAGATCGAGATGCGGGTGCGGGTCCACGGGAGCGTGCGAAAGGATTATGGCTGGGTTGATGGCGTGGAATCACAGGCAGCAGGCAATGATCGACGGAGAACTGCGCTCAAGAGGCGAACTGAGCATTGCGATAAATACAGACTCGTCTTCGAAAGAGGTAACAGCGAGTCAGCGGTAAGGCATGAAAACCTGTTTCCTATTTTTTACTTCTTATTATTAATTGTATAAATGTTCTCCGGCTCCACTTCTGCGTCTGTTTGATGAACGAACTGGGCCAACGGCTTTGATCGGGCGGTGTTAAAAACCTCGCACAGGGGATCATGGCATTGATTAGAAAAAACGCAAATATCAGCGCAATTTCTTTATATTTTTATAGAAGTAGAAACGACTATGAGAAGAACTTAGTATTTCAGCAAACTGGTTTCAACGCGTGAACGCCGTTTCCACAGCAAGCGATGGGGAAATCAGGAAAAAAAACAAATGTTAGCTACGTTAATTTATGCTGTTCAGCCTATTAGTTCATGTGACCATGGTGCTAGGATGACAGTTGTGTTACGTCGGCCACTCTTGAAACAGTTGAAGCTCTTCAAATAAAATGAAAGCGGCCGGCAACTAACCCAAAGCTGTTTATATGCCCTGTTGTTCCAGGCGTTGAAGAGTGAGGGTCAACGTCATCCCTACAATGTCACTGGGTCACGTTAAACTCGGTAGAGTTTTTTTTTTTACACAAAAGAATTTGCGCTATTCTTTTGATTTATCTAGAAAAAAAATGATAATACTAAACAGAAGTTTAGATCTTGGATTTTGATCGCAATGTTGCCTCGTACGCTCAAATTACCCAGTAATTAAGTCCTAATGCGAAAATGTGTTTAGCTTTTTTTCAATGAAAAAGGCTCAGTGTATCATTCATATTTGTCTCACATTTTCTTAAATTTAATGTACATGTACATGTAGACAATTTTAAAGTCCGTTTAGTGGTCCATAGGTTTTGCTGGGTCAACGCCTTTAAATGGGCTGTATGGACACGCTCCATGTGTGAGCAGAATTCGACGCGAGTCGGTTACATAGGGGACACGTAGCGAGAGAACTCCAAATATCCAGGAACGATTTCAAGAAATAATGGAACTCACTGTTAAAACGCCGTTTATTTATAAAATTATTATTAAATGGGATGTGTTGGTAGAAAATATTGATACGTCTATTTGAATCAACGTATTTCTGTTTATATCAATACGCTCTCTTGTGTGGCGAACCGCCCTTTACTGCAAACTATATGGCAAAGCAAATATGTGTAGAGGTGTGTGTATGTATGTTAGTGTTTAGCTGTCTCTTGATTTGTTTACCTCCTTCCAATAGTTCGATCGCTTTCTCGCTTGGGCCAAGCTCGTTCTGTGCATGACACGTATAGACGCCGTAGTACGAGTGATCTCGCACATCAATCTGAAATCAAATGGCAAAGAGCAGTGGGCAACAAGATAACAGAACAATTCATGATCATTCTTGCATTAAAAGTTATATAAATTATATATGCTAACTGGTCTATACATGTCTATACATAAATGGTCTATATATATATATATATATATATATATATATATATATATATATACATACATATAGATATATATATATATGTGGTCACCCTTGCACCGGCAAGCGGTTGTTAAAACGAATCGCTGCCTCCGAGACCAGCTCGATGATCGTGAGTAGCCTTAAATTATGTGAGTAAGTTAAAAATAAGTTACTTCTGTTGGCCAAACTTGGCAGTGTGTCCGGATATTATGCTAGTTACATTGAAGTCAAGGTTGACTAGGAGGCAGATGCGATGTAATTATATAAGCGAAGCTTTACTTCCGTTACTCATTGCCGTCACATGACTAGTTTCAGCCTAGGCAAACATGTATTGGGCTTAACGAGCTTACTATTTAGTAATACTGGAAGTGCTGTGATGCATTGATGATCGACCGTCAACGTGAGCCATACTGTAGGCGTCTATTGAAGGACTTCTAAAAAAACCGTAGTACGCTTATTGCATGCCACGGCTTTTTTTGACATACGTAATATTTGCCGCTCGGAGAGAGAAACAATATGAATAGTAATTATGATGCGCTTTTCCATGATCAGATTCAAATCCTGCCGCCATTACTCGCGTAGTATAACTACTGCTAACACAGGCACCCGTACATAGTCCCTCCGAGGGGTGATAAGCTACAAACAGCATGAGTGGCTAAGGCCATTTGACTGGTCGTCGAGAACATCCTGAGAGCTCAGCACAGAAAGCAGTTCTGCATCAAACTTGATTTTCAGCGATCAGAAACAGAACCATGAAGTCAACGCTGATCAAACGACACGTGATGTCAGCTGGCAGACGTACAAGTCGAAATCTATTTTTACATGTCTTTAACGGAATAGAAAACATGATCAGGGCATTACAAGTGCGAGTGTCGTACACCCGAACGTGAAATATCCATATGTAGGAGTTGTTCTATACACTGTCACTACTGAAGTGTTCTGGAGCAGAAAGTAGTTCGACCGATTAGAGCAATGTTTATCGCGGTTATAACGCAGTCTTTGGTTCCTTCTTATTTTCTGGACAAGGATGACTAGTCTGGATCACTAGATTATTTCAATACGCATCTGTTTATAAGTTCATGTGGGAGTTCCATGAAATTCAGAACGTGGATTGATTTTTTTGAAAATCCTGCATTAACTGAATCAGCTGTGTGAAACAGGACCAGGCTTTTCGAGTCGAACGGCTCATTAGGCTTTTATCATCTAGTGAAATCGACATACTTTCTTCTAACTGTACATTTGTCTCTAAGTTAAAAAGAATTCTACTCCGAAATTGTACGGCTGATAACACGTTTTTGATCCATCGCGAACAAATATGTGAGCGCAAAGTCTGAAGTCCCTACGATTCTTTATAATCAGTTCAGCTTCTTCGTCTCACTAGATTTTCCCCTAGGCTGCCCTCTCGTATGATTCCAAATGAGCTGCCGAATTTGTATTGCTTCCCGTGATTTACCGGGGAGAAATGCCGTCTTTGTAGTTCAGTCTGTCTTTTCTCGCCCCCCATTATGGTCCTAATGGCAAGTGCACCCTGGGCCGAAGCAATAGCAAACCTGACCAGCACCCAAGCTGCTATTCGGAGTTCCCATGGTTGTCGCGTGACAGGATCGGGCGCCTGTCGAAGCTGCGATGTCTCTCCACCCCATTCTCATAGTACGCACCTGCAACCCCCGTTTCAGTGTCCCAGTTGGAAGGAGACCATTTGCAGCCTTTACATTCACCCGGTGCTTAGCACCGTCGCTGAAGCCTTTCTGCATTGAGCATTTTCCCAGCCACCAGGCCCAATCAACATTCCTTCCCAACAGCGGGTGACTGGATGGACCCCGTCAACAGCTACTTCACTTAAGGCTAATGCACGTTTCGCATCGGCCTCGTACATGTTCCTTGCCTTCACTCAGCCTGTTTGCTTCAAGTGGCGTCACGGTTGACTGAAAGCGGTCCGAGTGAATAAGAATGCTACATCCCGACTCAAAATTTACTCGTCAGTTCATGACCGTGGCGGTACGGCACGACTCAGCGAGTGCTATTGAAATTTAAATTAAATCTAAAAGAACACTTGTTTACACAGAAGCCTATTAAGTAACGGTTGGCCATATTGTGCGTATGCCCGCTCAGAATGAACAGAATGCAAGGAAATGTGACGGTTTTTTTTTTCGATTTTCAGTCGCACACCAATTCTAGGAGCAACAGAGCTTGCTAGCGTGCTTATCAAATACAAACCTGTTCTTCACCTGCCTAACCGTTCCTAATAGTCAACACGGATCAAGGAGTAAACGAGTAAGTGCCCAGTGGTGTACGACCGGGATGTTTTAGCATTTAGGTAGTCGTGACGCAGAAGGTCAACAGCCCGAATGTGGCGGGTACCACGCCCAACGCTGCTTGTCTTTTTTGGCTTAATGAGCAACTCAGTCGGAAAGCTTTTATGAAGTTACGACCTTAACAGGACCACTCCGCTCTCCAGATGCCAGCCGCATTCCTTGGCTTCAATTGGCGGAGCGTGATATTAAACGAAAGCGATACGCTGAACACGGTAGCTGATTAAATATCATATATTTGCTTTTGCTGCCATCACCGACAGTATGCATATATATTTCCTTTTTTCAAATATATATATGACCGTTGAGGCGTCGCTAGTAATCCAACAACGCCCGTTCGTTTCTACATAAAAAAAAATCCGAATATATTGAAAATAACTTCCTGAGCCCTTTTGATGAATTTTCGAAATTTTCAAGTCTAAATCCTATTAAAGTTCTTTCCAATTACCTCGAGCAAATCTCGCTAGGGTTAGCTAGAAGCTGTTTGAGAGTTGGGAATAGCCAACGGTGGATAAAAAAAAGCTTTTCGTCTCGTTCGATGCTTCGTTCAGCGCAATAAGATTTAATAATAGCTGGTCCTTTCTGGAATTCCGAAAAGATCGCTTTGTTTTCTATTTGACGAGTTTGTTACCTTGCTCTGGACAGAACTGCCTTTCTTCAGCTACCAGGAGTAACAAATGAACGTATTATTATATACATACATATAAAGAAAGACTGCTACCCCGTCCTGTATGTATACAACCGCTATGTTTAGGAGTTCATGAAGATAAACGTGTATTTCTCAGAAAGTGAAGGCTCATAGTATGCATAGTACACTGAGAAAAATTGATTTACATTCAGGACGGACGTCCCAACGTTGCCAACTATGGTGTAGTCTTCACGGGCGTAGAGGTGCTCCATACCACGCAGCCATTTGATCGAAGGCTGAGGCTCGCCTTCCGCTTCACATGGGATTTTGGCTAGCGATCCGACTCGAGCGTATCTTGTATCAAGAGTTGTGTCCTTGAAGCGCGGACGGTCTGAAATAGTAGAACAACGCACAACTTGTTTCTGAGCGCTTAGCGTCTTTGATGAGTCTATCTTACTTTGTCACTTCACTATCTGAGTAGAGCCGATCAAGGAATATTCGTTACCGTTGTTGCGTACCAGCTCTGTAACGTCAACACTTGATACATTGTAAACAAATTTGTATTAATTGAAGTTCCGTCATATTATTCATTGCTGCTAATAAGTTAGCAGCAAAGAATAATGAAAAAAAATAATAATAATAAAAACTTGTGTAAGTTCTATGATACCCTGTTCGAGTTTTCTTAAGTTGTTTTGTATTTTTGCATTATAAATAAAATAAGAATCATTGTGTTTTCTTCGCATATATATGCGTATATTTGTGATTTCAATGTGAAGATCAGTCAGCCAACAGGTAATGGAATAGTTTGAAAATGGCAAAAATTCTTTTTACGCTATGACTGCTCTTCATGAAGATGTCGATATACAATTATTCCCACACACCGACTTTGAACTAGTTTTGAAGTTCGAGACGATAGAAATAGGTAACTGTTCCTTTGAAGATCTCGCTGGCTACATTGGATGCATGTATATACTAATGCATTGGGGGCTGTTTATATTCTGTGCTTAATAGATTATAAGAGACAAACGACAACGATAAAAAGTAGTACCTTTTTGCTATTTAGTATAAAGGAACGCACGTGTCTATACATGATGTTTATATGTATATATAAAAAATAATATCCAGTCTTCGCATTACAAGTATCGGACAAAGGGTATGAAGAACCATTGCCCAATCGATATTTTTAGATCTTTACGTGAACGATACGAGGGAGGAAGGCAACATGTCGACCTTTCCGATACCCCAGTAGAAATAGTGCTCTAGGACACAACAAAAAGGCGGTCGAGTAGTTGTTAAAAATCGAAAGGTATGCCTTTTGTTCAAAAACGTTCATCCTATACATTGGGAACATCATTCTAAATTCAATAATTTGCCTTCTGTGCTAGCGTCCTAATACAGATTTTCTTCACGTTCGGGCCGCTTCTAACTAGATTGTTAACTTTCTGAAACGTATTGTAGTCCCTTAAGCAGAATTTTACCTTAAGCTTTCATCACCAATGTGCCATATTGGTGATATTCTAGATTAAAACGATTAGTTATCAATTTTCGGAGCTACAAATTATAAGCAAGGCATAAAACAAAGTTATATATTTTACACTCACTATTTTTGCCACAAGACGATACTCGGCGTATGCTTCTATGACGCCAAAGATTTTCTGTCAGTCAACATTCAGAATATCAAAATACTGCCGTAGCTCATAAGCCGATAATTGGCATTACCCCCCAAGCTACGCTTCACGGAGGCAACACGCGGAAAAGAACGTAAGACTACTTGTGTCTTTTTCGCGTGTTCTGAGCGTTTGCCGACTAAAAATCGTGCCATTATCATATCACTCGTTTTGGCTTTGTTTTATAACTTAGCAACCTTTGCCTGTCTTAACCATACAAGGGTCGTCGCCTGCTCTCTGAGCTTTGGTTTTTTTTTGATGCTTTCGCGAGATCAGCCCAGCAATAGTTTCTGCCTCTCTGCCTTTAAATGCTACCGAACGACCATTACACTGGACATCAGAATGGAGCTGATATTAAAATAAATCCATGCTGACCTAGCGTTACGTTAACCGCCTCGAGACGGCTCCGTGAGATGGGGGTGTTGAGTCACATCGAGCGCCCGACCAATTTGAATGACATTCACAATGGGCAGCTTTAATTAAGACTTTCATAAGCGCAGCATAATGAAAGGGGCCGTCTTCATTTGGTCTTCATTGGCGAAGCAAAGGTTTGAGAGCAAACAACCAATGGACCGCAGTCTCTTTGATGCTTCCGTCGCATAAATATGGGCTGCGACAGTATCCCTTACCCCGGTCCCTCCATATTGCGCTAAATAAAATCTGACTACCCTGTCAGCAGAAAAAACTGCACAAGTTATTTAACAAAGCTCAGTTCCTTTTTGTGCAATAATTCGTGGTCGATCCTTTTGTTGGCCATAGTAAACGCAAAGGATGTCAAAAAGACGCTACTCCATTTAAGGTAAAAAAAAGGATAAAATGTGTCCCCGAATACATGTATGTTTTTAAAGATACGCAGAATTGCGGAGGCTGTACACACAAGTGAGTGTTACTATCAGTGTTCTTGTGGGTTACGCTACAGGTCACAGGATGCCCCCAATATATGTACATGGAGGCTCAATTGCTAAAGTTTTTGTCCTGACACCGCCAAAGCAGCGGCGAGAGCTTCCATAAATTGATTTTCTCAGCTAGACATTTTGAAACTCCTTCTTACTTGGGCTAATGTCAGTGTAAGCTAAAATATCGAGCTGTTTTCAATTATTGCTTTGAAATGCTTTCAAAAAGATTAAAGATCGACCCCTCAAAGACAAACCCTTAGAATGTTAGTTCTCAGGAAATCGCACGCCTCATCGCCTAACTGAAAAATGCTCCCTACCGATCTCTACCATAGCTATATAAAGGAATATTATATAGCACGGAACCATATTAGACCCGCCTCCAAGCCGTACTTTTTGTATCCAGATAAAATGTACTTAATACGAAGTCTCCTGAACTATAAAATGGTTATCATATAATAATACAATCTAAACTCTTTGTATTCTTAACATCCGCCATGACAATAAATTGCTAGCAATATCAGGAGTGACTACTTCTGAAGCATTCATAGATATCTAACTACGTGGATTATTTCTCTCAATTTTATAATATATATATATATATTCTTATTTAATATTTATAATTATTATATTATAATAGAATAATTATTATTATTCATTATTATATATATATTTCATTATTATTCAACAACATGGGAGCAAAACTTAAAAATAGTACCAAAGGTGACACTCAAACAGAATTTGATATACCGGTATACAGTATCTAGAAGTACACGGTGTCATCCGGAATAGTTTTAATTTAATAACAGCACACTTTGGTGTAGCTAATACAATTTTGTTGTTTTTCTGGCCAGGGAACAGCTAGGTCAGTCGTCTCTTGGACTGAACGTACACCTGTTGTACTTTTTACGATATAAGTTTTTATATATAATAAATATATATTTGATATAGACATTTTTGAATGGAAGTTTCAGAAATATGATCTACAGTCATATTTTGTTCTATGTTATATATGGATCTAGATGAATGTCCTGAATGACTCCCTGAGCCTCATTCTAAATGAGCGATCCGTAAAATAAACACGACGCAAGCTTTTAACTTTGGAACTTTTACCTGGGATACAGAGCTTTGCGATTAACAGATTGTGATTCACCCGGTGAAGTCCACGAGAAAAACCCTATGGAGTGCATTTTGGTGATTTTCAACTAGTTAAGTACAAGTTGGCTTTCCTTAACTAAACTCATACTGTTTTACAAAAAAGATATGTGATCTACACGATGCTCCCATGGCAATGCAACTAGAGACTCCTAACTGATAAGATAATAGTAGTGTTAATATACATTTTTTTTCTCAATTTTCACATATCATTAAACCTGTTTTTCATCGGAGAATACATACATTGCACGATAAACTGAATCATTTTTTTTTGGACGGAAACGAGGTGCTTTGTGCCCATGAAGGCGGAGCACGTGTAGTTCCCAGCGTCGGTTGTCTCCACGTTGTAGATGGTTAGGACTTGGCCCTCGACCTTATATTTGCCGTTGTTGCCTGTCAATAGAATAAATACGAAAAAAAGCAAACCCATTAGTTTTTGTTAGGTGTAACTCCTAGACGCGTGCAAATACTATAGCATGGTTCGTCAACTTCCCAACGACGGTATCTTCAGCCAGAAAAAAGGAGTTCTCTTATTTTTAATATATGACGCACATTATAGGTACTTCCATTGACTGAGCCACACCGCGGGGAGGTTGTTCCAGTAAACGTATTTGCCCGAATCTATTCTATTACAACATCAACAAGCATTCCCCCCTCCGGGTCCAATACACCGCCATTCTCGAAGACCGCCATTCTCGAAGATATATAACCCAATTAGTAGTTGATTTTACCCGCGCTCTTTATTTCTAGACTCATTGTACTTTGATCAGCCTATATAGGCGACTGGTTTCATCTGAATTCGCCTAACGAGGCTACATCTTAGGCAATGCCGACATTCAGAATTCGAGTTGACATGCGTCTGGACAAGCCAGTATATCCTTTAAGGAAAGCGTGGTGAAGGGCTCGAAGACACTTCATTCTAAAAAACCTGAAGCGAAGGCAGCGAGCACAGTTACATCCTTGTTTGCTTTAGCTGAAGCAATGGTCCCTGACAGCGGTACAAGGAAAGGAGCTTTGCAGCACACCGTTATTAGTGCACATCAGATGTTGAAAGACTTCATGAAGTTTTCGCAAATGTACTAAACGAAAAAGATGAATACTGGCTCTAGGACGTAGTGCCAATTTCCAATAGTTGATAAAGTAGCACTATTCGTGACGGCCAGAGCCCTAGTTCCAAGTGGAAAGAAATCGACCGGGAACCGGCGGCAAATCATCCCGTTCATTTTCGTTCGAGCTGGCCGAAGGGCCATTCGCTCTGCACGTGGCAAGAACGTTTGATCCAACCACATACAATCCTCTGCACATACTATGAAAGACTCGTCTTGTTACGAAATGTGGCCCAAATGGAAATAAAGAATGCGATAAATTTTTCCATCCCAATAGAGAAAAGTATTGTTAGGTATAGGTGGCTGAAGGGATCGCGGTCATTATTTAATATTTCAGTGGATTTATCCAACGCTAAGCCTAAAAACAGGCGATCTGTGGGTCACTAAACAAGATTTTACTTATCGTTCAATGCACTTACCGTTTAAAGGCTAGCCAACAAGCGTAACTCAAATGGAATTTAAGTTAACATACACAATTCTCAGACCCTTCCCAGTCCTGCGAGACCGCAAACACACACCGAGAAATTCCTGCATAGATGTGCTAAGGCGTTATTATAAAATAAAGAATCACACAATTTTTATCTTGGAATGGATTTTGGTATAATTTTCATGATATTGTCGTCCTTCTTGAGTTGCCTTGAGGTGTGTACCACGCCAGCTCTTTATGCCTATAGGCAAAAAGTCCGAAGGAGATGTCCCTGAGAAGAACAAAGCAGGAAAGGATTGCCTGCATGCGTCATTATGCACATCGCATTGCATTAGATGAGTATAGACATTACTGCAGTCTACGCTATATATCTGCGCCGGTAGAGGATGGCATGACCAGTCTCGTTAATCCAATTGTCATACCCTAAATGATGTTTGCAACTACAGCCAGTGAACCAACAAGGCAACCCTATATGGTCTACATGAGTTAAGCGCTACCAGATCGTATTCTTCCTCCTTGACTAGTGCGTCAATCAGGCATTTGCTGATGACAAGCTGCTCGAAAGTTTGTAGCAACAGGAGATCTCCTGAGGATACCCTTCTGCATGCATCTAAATGGGACCAACTAGAAGGCGAACGGTTCTCGGAGATTCGGCCACCCCACTTCACTCAGCACTTCAGTGAGCACTGCGATGAGCGTCACCAGAACTGCCCATTTTTCGTCCCCTACCCCAGGGTGCTCCAATCTTATTTGGCCACAAACTCTCCTATTATAGATAAGAGACCGTCTTACAAGCGCACTTTGTATGATTAAATGCTCACGTGGTACTAGCTCTATGTATACGGAGCAATATCTAAGTACCTCTATCGTATTCTATCTTCCCGAAGACATTTAAAATGGCGTTTTGCAAAAGAGTATTTTCTTTCATCTATGTGTGCTTCTCCTCCGTAAAATAAACATCTTTCTCCCTAACGAATTCACCCATTTTCGTCCGGGTGCCTGCTTTACTCGCCCACTTTATTCGTCCCTCCACTCAAGGCGAAAATTAGGGTCATCAAGCAGTAATCACGCAAAAGGCTCGTTTTTAGATATGTCTAGAATTTCAATTGAGATATGAATCGCTGCTACTGGAGCTGTTGCTTATGCGGTTCTGCTACCATTAGAATGTATACAGAATGAATCAATGTCGGACAGCTCCTCTGACGCTGTCTTTGGAGCACCCCCTTCTTTTACCTCCTTTTTAGACTTTCGGGTTAGCGCGATTTAATTGCATGTAGTTACCAGTTATTCCGGTTTTCCCTAACCTTCGTCTGTAGATGAACGTCTCATTTCATTAAGTGTGCTCTGCCACGCAGAACCGCGGCTGCGCCTGCTTGTGCACGACGATCAGGTAGCTCCTTATTAGGTTTATTTTGTATGCTGTGCATAAACAGGACAATGAAGGGCCGTTCCTGCTATCACTATCCTCGTTCATATATGTTTACGTACGTATGTGAACATTTGTCGCACTATATGGGTCATGTGTGGATCTATCCATTTAAGCAAATCGGCCTTTAGAAAAACAGACACAGTTGTGTAAAAAATGTAAATGCCAGATTGCTTCAAAAAAGAATTAGAAAAAAGGACTAGTAAGTTGTATGGGACTCACGGGACATTGAATAACATGTCCTCGTAAATAGCACAGCCTGTCAAATTCGGCACCGATCCAAACCCACCTGGACTAAGCCTGCAGGATATTAGGGGGCCGTTAGAAAGCGACTGAAGCTGCAGATGAAATCGTTAGTTAAAACACTATGAGTGGACCTGCGTTTGTGTGAGAACGTGAGAGGATAAATTTTATTGATATTATCTTATTTATTTTACCTTTTAACTGTAAAGAAAAAATAAAATTCAGACGAAGAATATTAGATATCAAGAACTGACAGATATCAATACTTAAAGCAATCAATAGAGTGCTCCTCCTTGTCTTAATACTATCCAAATTCTATTTACCGAAACCATGTACACGGTTTGCAAAGGGTGCTATTATTTCCTAATATTATTACTTTATAAAGAGCAACGTCTTTTTAAGTTGTCCCGATGAGATACTTTCTGAATCGGTTGAAGATAAAATATAAAAGAACTGGTATTTTAATTCCTAATTAATTAATTATGAACTGTGGATTGGTTTCAATCCCAAATTAAAATCGAACGTGACACCTAAAAATGATAACGCTAAATAACCTAGTGGAGAAATATGTAGTCAGAATAATTTATAAAAATCTCTATTTAAAACGTTCTTTATTTATAAACATATATATTCTAAAAGAACATCACAGTGTCGTCACAGCCACTGACATGCGCAACTTTATCCAAATGAACTCTCGATCTAACAGCATTAAAAAAGATGTTAAAAAAAAACGCAATATTTATTGAAGTTCTTTGCCTACGAACGATGTACGGCTATTTCTTTTTTTTTTTTCTGCACCCCAAACCTGGCCGCCATCCGATCTTTTCATTCTTTGCCTGATAGACTATCAATACAACTATTCCATCTCTTCTTTTAGGGCTAAAGAGGAGGTCAACTCTAGCAGGAACTGCGTTCATTCTAGCCGGCCCTCTAGCTTAGCGCGTTTTAGCAAGAATAAACGCCTGCAAATCGCCTGCAAAATTGCCGTGCCTGCAAATCGGCGTGCCAGACTTTGTCGTCTGCAAGTACGCACGTGCCTGCAAACCGGCGTGCCAGATTTTGTCGTCTGCAAGTACGCACGTGCCTTGTATTAGCGGCGTAGTGCAAATCACTATTTCCGCTCGATATGGTTCCATACGCCGCATGTGGGACCACAAGGCTATGAATACAATACTGAGCTGCTAGGCGATGTTACTATATTATTATTTGTACTATATTATTACTAGCGCCACTCATTGTCCGTCCATCTGATCGAAAAGGCGCCGCATTAGAGATGTGATACGATTTGACCAGTGGTAGCCATGCTCCACCTCCTGTTTTCTCCCGCTCTTCTCCTCTCCACTATTGTGTCTTTTTTCATTTCTCTCTTTCAAACTAACTATTCCATACAGATACTATTATATAGATAGCACAACCCAAACAGCAACCTCTTCTATGCCTGCGTAAAGCTGAAATAGTACACATTCACACGACGCATTATACACAAACACACGTATATATAAATGGACTTACGTACAGGATGGGCTACCGCGCATATAGATAATACGGGCAGTCCGACTGAAGCCAACCAGTGGTCTGTTTGTACAGGGGCTATTAAATACGAACGCTTCGATGGCCTCATTCGGTGGAGATATCAATTAGAGCGACAGCTTCCCTGTTCCGGATCAGTTAATACTCCAGGCAGCCGACAATGATTAGCGGTGGCGTTAGTACTCTCAGGGGATACGAGACTGGACATAGAGGATAACTTTGGGACACGGTAAGCATACAGAGTAATCACACAACAAAGGGTCACCGCACGATCGCCCTAACTTTCAGCATAGCCACCCACAACTCGAATTGCATGTCAATAGAGGACGGCGTCTGCGGCAAGCTGACTCCACTTTGACCTCGATAGACTACGCACGAAAAAGTATAACTGGGCACCGACGCGATTGTAGGTAGAGATCGACTAAGGAATAAATGTCATCAGCTAAACTGATCGCTGTTCGGTCCAGCGATGCACGGAATACCAATTCATCTATTTTTCGAGTAACAATTGTGTTAACTATTACATCGCCTAACAGGCAGATGGCCAGTAATGAATGCTGCGCTTTATTTGTTTCGAAAGAGAAATTCTGTGTTCGATGCTAAGGTTCTCTTAAGCGTCTCTAGCCAACTCAAGCGTTATGAGGGAGCCAAGAAAAAATAC